TCCCCTTCCCCCCTCTCACAGAAAGTGCCTGACATTTACCAACAACACTCCTGCCCCCCACAACCCCTTCCTGTGGCGATAGAGAGACACTCATTTTCATAGCTCAGAACATCCCCGGGAACGTGAGCCAAGCTCTACATACACCATGAAGCAGCCTGCAGCCTCTCTCGGATCCCACCTAGTTCCCATGGCATGTCCCTTCTTTCATCCATTCTTCTGGGGGAAGGTGCTGCCCCCCTGAAAAATGCCGCCCTAGGCAAGTGCCTTGTTTGCCTTTTGGTAAATACGCCCCTGCGTCTAGCTCTTTACCCTCCAGCTTTTCTGTCCCTGACCTGCACCTTTAATTCATTGAATTTCAACTATACTGTATATGTACCCTCACCCTGTAAAACAGCCCAATCAATTTAAAATTGAAATGAAAGGTAAAACATTTACGTAAACATATACATTATAAATACTTGTTCCCCCTTTTTTTATACCCTCTGTTCTCAGCTGCATAAGGAGCTTAGAGAATTAGGAGAGCTAAGGGAGGAGAAACAGCAGTACGCTAAGCAGGGATTGGGAGGATGTCAGCACAAGTCTGATCATTAGAGAAGAGCAGGCTGAGTTCCCAGCACAACTAAAAAAGTGAGCACAGCACCCCTGCCTAGGGTGGTAAGTTTTTAATAGGAAAGCAGGGGGACTGGCAGAAACACCAGGGATTTCAAACAAAGGAAGCAATACAAAGAGAACAGGATACTTTTTCTTACAAGAGCATGGTACAAAACAGGAATATGAAATTTTCTGTTGACATATTCTTTAAGTTAGTATTCAGTGGGGGCAGTAAAAATGTGGCTTGATCATGTGGTTTTACCGCAGTCAACTGCAAGGCTCCAACTCTTCACAGCTATGAAGGCCACCTCATCTGGAAGAGATTATTTCACCTAGTACTCCACTTTGAGTATAGCTTCTTCCTTTCTAGGCCAGATGGCTCCAGATGTTGACCCAGGTCTGACTTTCAAACACATATATCCCTCCCTAGGCAACAGACCTGTAAGAAGCAGCACGGACAGTAATCCCTCCTTAGGCCTAGGTCTGGGTGAGAAAGACCTCTTTCTCTTGGTTGACCTAAATAGTTATACCATTCCCCAGCATGCACCAATGGCAACAAAACACCTAGTGGGCTAGGACACATAAATGTATCTTCCAGTCTTGTTGCCTCTCTCCTCTACATTACCAGACACACTCCCTGATAGCAGTCAGGGATAAGCTGTTTGGCTGGAATTAAAGAAACCAAAGGACAGCAGCTCTTTCTATCAACTAAAGCAGGGGTCTCCAAACTTTTGAAACAAAGGGCCAGTTTACTGCCCCTTAAATTTTAGGAGGGCCGGATTGTGGCCAGTGGGAGTAGAAAATACCCTAGGCTTGGTGGTTTGTGGGAGGAACAGTGCCCCATTACTGGTCTCAGTGGGATAATTAGTTCCCCATTTCTGGTATCAGTGAGAAGATCAGTGCCCCTTCGTTGGTGTCAGTGGGAGGAACAGTGCCCCGTCGCTGGTGTCAGTGGGAGGAACAGTGCCCATTGTTGGGATCAGTGGGAGGAACAGTGTCTCGTCATTGGGGTCAGTGGGAGGAACAGTGCCCCATTGTTGGGATCAGTAGGAAGAACAGTGCCCCATCGTTGGGGTCAGTGGGAGGAACAGTGCCCCGTCGCTAGGGTCTGTGGGCGGAACAGTGCCCCATCATTGGCGTCAGTGGGATGAAAAGTGCCCTATCGTTGGAGTCAGTGGGAGGAATAGCACCCCATCGTTGGTGTCAGTGGGAGGAATAGTGCAACATTGTTGGTGTCAATGGAAGGAATAGTGCTTCGTATCAGTGGAAGGAAAAGTGCCCCAAGGGCCTGGATAAACACAAGCAAAGGCCACATCCGGCACACAGACCACAGTTTGGAGACCCCTGAATTAAAGCATAACTTTACTCATTTCAGGAAGGTCTTCTCTGCTGTCTCTTCCCCATTCCTTCTTACACATTTAGATGCATTGACATGCCTCAGGTCTCTTGCGCACATGTAAGATCTTGTAAAGTACCTCCTGGGACGTGTGACATAAACATTGCATGAGCACTTTGCATGATCTTGCAGATCATACACATGGTCCACACAGTCTTTGCTAAAGAGCTGGCAGAAACCAGCGGCATGACTGAGCATACAGTGTGTCAGATCCCCCCTGCACATGTGCCTGACTGGTGCTGAGTCCCATTTGAGATGGTGGTGCTCGGGAAGAATGGCGAAGAGGGTACCTTTACTTCAAGCAAGACAATGCTGGACTCCATGGTCTAGAAAGTATGTTAGGGAATTTTTTTTGGAGGGCAATTTTTATTATTTTAGAGGATTTATATAGCGCCAACAGTTTGTGTGGCGCTTTACAATATAAAGAGAGGCAGTAGTTACAATACAATAAATTACAATGGGGTTAAGAGGGCCCTGCACATAAGAGTTAACAATCTAATAGGGTGGGGCAAGTGATACAAAGGTTCATAACTGTGGTGGATGACCTGATGAAAGTTATAAAAGTTCAGTTATGAAGAGATGAGTTTTCAGGGATCACCTAAAGGCAGCCAGAGTAGGAGATAGCCGAAAGATTGAGGTAGAGAGTTCCAGAGGATGGGAGAAGCTCTGGAAAAGTCCTGGAGACAAGCATGAGAGGAGGAGACAAGGGAGCTTGAGAGCAGGAGGTCTTGGGAGAAGTGAAGTGGATGGTTTGGGTGATATTTGGAGACACGATTGGTGATGTAGATTGGGGCAGAGTTGTGGATGGTTTTGTTTGTTGTTAATTATTTTAAATGTAATTTGCTGGACAATCAGAAGCCAGTGGAGGGATTGGCAGAGAGTGGTGGTATACATTGAGAGGATGATAAGGTAAATGAGTCTGGCAGCAGTATTCATGATTGACTGAAGAGGGGATAGCCTATGGAGAGGTAGGCCTATGAGAAGGGAGTTGAAATAGTCAAGGCAAGAGATAACAAGGGAGTGAATGAATAGCTTGGTGGTTTCATAAGTTAAAAGGGGCAAATGTTAGAGATGTTACAGAGGTGAAGTCTACATGCTTTTGACAGCTATTGGACTTGGGGCCGAAAAGATAGATCAGAGGCCAGGATTACATGTAATTACGCACCTATCGAACATCATGGAGTTTGTACCCATGTGGGTAATGTGCTCAATGTAATTTTGTAATTAGAAAAACATTTTTTTACACACTCGAGAACCGGGAAACGGTTTGCAATCAAGTTGTTTGTGAACTGCTCTCCCAGAAATGTGATATATCTTTTCAAGTGTCCTGTTGGACAAACCTCATGTGAGTGTAGCACTACCCCCTTAGGAATCGCTGAAGTTATAGTCCTGCACAGCCATGGCAACACGCATTTTCCACACAAGCTTATATCCAGGTGACAATAACCAGTCCTTGAGATTGTTTATTGGGATTTGATTAGGGGAATACAAACTTGGATGGGCTAAGGGGTGTATGGGATGCCCAAGGGTAATGGCAACAGAGGACAAACTCCTTAGCAACTATGTACAAGTCTTTACACAGCAAAAACACTGTAGTTCCACCAGTATCTCCTGTAGTTCCACCCCAGATCTCAGATAAATCCTCTCCTCATCCATCTGTGCTAGGTAAATCCTTGGTCAGGGGATCCAGTGCCTTCCACTGCAGTGTGAAACAGTCCCAGGTAAGAAAGCTAATCCTCTTTCCCCTTACTGGTCAAGGGGGTGCAGGTCTACTCACTCAGTCCTCCTGTGCTGCTGGTGGGTCGGTGGCTGCTACCAGGCCTTCTAGCTGGGCTGCTCCTTCCCTGCTGCATAGGTGGTCCTCAAACTGGGGGGCTGGTGAAGTCCTGGCCTTTCCTCCCTCCAAGTTCCACTGCCTGTAGGTGGGCCCCTCTCCATCTATGCCTCCTGCTCTCCAGGCTCATTTCCTCTTCATCTTCCACCCGAGCTCTCCTCCTGCTGAGCAGGCTCTGTCACTTTTAAGGGCTGTCTTGGCCCCATACCAAGACTCCTGTTGGGGATGGCCAGGATTCCTCAAAAGTGCAGATCAGCCACTCCTTACCTCCACCCACGGCTTCTAGATCTTTCTCAAAAGTTTCAGAGCAGGGGGAAGTCTCAGAGAACTGGTCTGCAGAGCCTCTCAACCCCTGACCACAATTTGACCCATCTGACTATCACACCTGGGTTGCTACTCAGCCCCTATCTTTCAATTGGAGTCTAGCTCCCCCTAGCAGCCTAGGAGAGTGTTACATGAGGATTAGATTTGGCAGACATGGAAACGAAGTGAGGAGGGGTGACCCTACATCTCCAGTAGCAAAACATTTCTGGAATGCAAATCAACTCATAATTACGGTTCACTTTGATTGAGGAAGTCAAATGTCCACCAAGAAGGGGAGACTTGGCTAGGCTGATACTCCAGAGGAAATTATACTGGATTTATAAACTGGACACGCTATACTCTAAGGGTATGAATGAAAAATGTGACCTTACAGTATTTCTTTCATCTGGTCTGGTTCCAACTTGTTCATACACCAGGGCTTAAAATTTCGAGTCTAGACCAACTAGCCAGGCACAAACCTTACTCTCCACCAGTTGCCCCACCCAACCTTGCCCAAGTCCGCCTTCAACCCCACCCCCGACCCATCCCCCACCCCACCCCCAGCCCTGCCCCCAGCCACGTCCCCTTAAAGCTTATGAAATAATTTTTCTTTAGAATAAAGAATCCAAAATATAAAACACTGCTATTATAACATAGCTTTATTATGTCAATTTAAACATAACAGCAATAGATTAATAGAAATAGGGTGCAATAAGGCTTAGAATCTAAGCCTTATTGCACCCTATTGCTATTAAGATATTGCTCTTATGTTTAAATTGACATAATAAAGCTATGTTATGGGGGTACTATTCCTCCCACTGACACCAATGATGGGGCACTATTCCTCCCACTGATACCAATAATGGGGCACTATTCCTTCCACAGACACCAATGATGGGGCACTATTCCTCCCACTGACACCAAGCATGGGGCACTATTCCTCCCACTAGCACCAATCATGGGGTACTATTCCTCCCACTGACACCAAGTGTGGGGCACTATTACTCCCACTGACACCAATCATGGGGCACTATTCCTCTCTCTGACACCAAGCATGGGGTACTATTCCTTCCACTGACACCAAGCATGGGGCATTGTTCCATTTACTGATACCAATGACAGGGTATAATTCCTCCCACTGATGCAAACGCTGATGTGTTATTCTTTCCACTGAAACCAAAGTTAAGGCACGACTACTCCCAATTAAAATCCAGGGCACCTTGGAGTCTCCACCACCATGCAATAGTCCCACTTCATTCCTCCTACACTGAAATGTGCACACCTCCAGCCTTAACTGAGAATCCAGGGAATCTCAGCATCTCCACCATCATACATGCTGCACGCTTCAGTGGAGGAGGAATGAAGTAGAACTATTGCATGGTGGTGGAGACACCGAGGTCCTTGGACTTTCAGTTAAGGGTCGAGATGTCCATGGACTGAAATCCAGGCACCTCAATCTCAAAGAAAGTGGTGAGGGGGGGGGTCAGAGAGAGGGGGTGAGAAAGAGAGAGATAGGGGGGTAAGAGAGAGAGAGGGAGGTCAGAGAGAGGGGGTGAGAAAGAGAGCGGGGGGTGTGAGAGAGAGGGGAGGGGAATCAGAGAGAGGGGGTGAGAAAGAGAGAGAGAGGGGGGTGAGAGAGAGGGAGGGAAGTCATACGGGGGGTGAGAGACCCCTAGCCTGTCCCTGTTCCTCCTGTGCCCCCTTGTCCCAGTACCCATCTGCTGTGTGTGATGCTCAGTATGACACCTTCCATGCCAGCAGGATGTGCATGATAGCCAGCAGCGGGCAGGATCTGGTCTTGCTCTTGGTGAGGATAGGAGATGCTCTACTCCTTCCAGCAAAACTATGTGATGTGAGATGAAGCGGTCCCTAGCTGCCTGCACCTCCAGTCTGTCCCCATTCTCTGGGATCCCGGTAAGTCTGTCTTCTGGTCCCAGGAGCAAAGAGGAGGTTGTGTGAGGCGGTGCACATGCGCCCAACATCACCATAGCAACATCTGACGCTGAAGTGGCCATCGAATACAGACAGCTAGATGAGCCACAGGGCACAAGTACTGGGGGAGGCGGGAGAACCTCATACAGTACAGTTGATAGGTAAAAGAAAAGGGAATGACAGAAGGTGCAGGAGCGGTCAGTAATGAGCAAGGAGTAGCCAACAATAACACTAGCCCCCATGTTATTTCCACTCGCCAAATGCGAGCAGGCGAGTGGAAGTTTTAAGCCCTGTCATACACTGTATAATCATATTTGACATTCTGCTTAAGATCCAATGATTACTAATTAGTGCTCTTACTTTCCTGATTAGTTGGTAATTGTTAATATTGCACAAATCTGTTTACATTGTATGCTACATAAACCTGTTGGATTGTGCAGAGACTGGACAATCGGATTGTGTGGTGTATAAAAAAGGGTTTTCTCTCTGCTGTATATATGTATTATTTACTGTTTTTTCTTTATATATATATATATATATATATATATATATACACACACTGCTCACAAAAATTGAAGGGACACTTTGTAATCAGAGTGTAGCATCAAGTCAATTAAACTCCTGGGATATTGATCTGGTAGTAACAGAGGGGGTTGGTAATCAGTTTCAGCTGCTGCTTAGTGTTACTGAAATTAATAACAGGTGCACTCTATGGGCAACGATGAGACGACTCCCAAAACAGGAATGGTTTTACAGGTGGAGGCCATTTTCCCTACTCATCTTTTCTGGCTATTTTTCACTAGTTTTGCATTTGGCTAGGGTCAGTGTCACTACTGGTAGGATGAAGCTATAACCTGGACCCTACAGAGGCTGCACAGGCAGTCCAACTCCTCCAGGATAGCCAATACATGCCATTGCCAGAAGGTTTGCTGTGCTCCCAGCACAGTCTCAAGAGCATGGAGGAGATTCCAGGAGACAGGCAGTTACTGTAGAGCAGTGGTTCTCAACCTGGGGGTCGAACGACCATTTCCCAGGGGTCGCCTAAGACCATCGGAAAACACATATTTCCGATGGTCTTAGGAACCGAGACACCGCTGCAGTCTCCGGCGATGTGTGGGCGGGATGATACGCTGCTGTCACCTGGCCCACCTCCGGGATCGCTCAGCAGCTCCGCCGCCTCCTCGCCGCTGATTGGCCACCGGAACTGTAGCTCAGGAGAGGCACACAGGCGGCCAATCACCGGCGAGGAGGTGGAGCTTGGAGAGGAGGAGCCGAGCGGCAGCGCGCGTACATCAAAGAAGACCGAGGGAGCTGCCGGAGCGAGTGAAGAGGAGAGCGGCCAGAGAAGGAAGACAGCTGACAGGTAAGTGAGAGAGCGAGCCCAGGCTGGAGCAGGGGTCAGCAAGGTAAGTATCATTGGTGTCAGTGGGAGGAATAGTGCCCCATCATTTGTGTCACTAATACCAACGATGGGGCACTATTCCTCCCCCCACTGACACCAATGATGGGGCACTATTTCTCCCCCCACTGACACCAACGATGGGGCACTATTCCTCCCCCCACTGACACCAACGATGGGGCACTATTCCTCCCCCCACTGACACCAACGATGGGGCACTATTCCTCCCCCCACTGACACCAACGATGGGGCACTATTCCTCCCCCCACTGACACCAACGATGGGGCACTATTCCTCCCCCCACTGACACCAACGATGTGGCACTATTCCTCCCCCCACTGACACCAACGATGGGGCACTATTCCTCCCCCCACTGACACCAACGATGGGGCAGTATTCCTCCCCCCACTGACACCAACGATGGGGCAGTATTCCTCCCCCCACTGACACCAACGATGGGGCACTATTCCTCCCCCCACTGACACCAACGATGGGGCACTATTCCTCCCCCCACTGACACCAACGATGGGGCACTATTCCTCCCCCCACTGACACCAACGATGGGGCACTATTCCTCCCCCCACTGACACCAACGATGGGGCACTATTCCTCCCCCCACTGACACCAACGATGGGGCACTATTCCTCCCCCCACTGACACCAACGATGGGGCACTATTCCTCCCCCACTGACACCAACGATGTGGCACTATTCCTCCCCCCACTGACACCAACGATGTGGCACTATTCCTCCCCCCACTGACACCAACGATGGGGCAGTATTCCTCCCCCCACTGACACCAACGATGGGGCAGTATTCCTCCCCCCACTGACACCAACGATGGGGCACTATTCCTCCCCCCACTGACACCAACGATGGGGCACTATTCCTCCCCCCACTGACACCAACGATGGGGCACTATTCCTCCCCCCACTGACACCAACGATGGGGCACTATTCCTCCCCCCACTGACACCAACGATGGGGCACTATTCCTCCCCCCACTGACACCAACGATGGGGCACTATTCCCCCCCCCCCTGACCCCAATGATGGGGCACTATTCTCCCCTCCACCACACTGACATCAATGATGGGGCACTATTCCTCCCACTGACACCAATGATGGGGCACTATTCCTCCCACTGACACCAATGATGGGGCACTACTCCTCCCACTGACACCAATGATGGGGCACTATTCCTCCCACTGACACCAATGATGTGGCACAATTCCTTCCACTGACACCAGTGATGGAGCACTACTCCTCCCACTGACACCAGTGATGGGGCACTACTCCCCCCACTGACACCAGTGATGGAGCACTACTCCCCCCACTGACACCAACGATGGGGCACTACTCCCCCCACTGACACCAACGATGGGGCACTACTCCCCCCCACTGACACCAACGATGGGGCACTATTCCTCCCACTGATACCAACGATGGGGCACTATTCCTCCCACTGATACCAACGATGGGGCACTATTCCTCCCACTGACACCAACGATGGGGCACTATTCCTCCCACTGACACCAACGATGGGGCACTATTCCTCCCACTGACACCAACGATGGGGCACTATTCCTCCCACTGACACCAACGATGGGGCACTATTCCTCCCACTGACACCAACGATGGGGCACTATTCCTCCCACTGACACCAGTGATGGGGCACTATTCCTCCCACTGACACCAGTGATGGGGCACTATTCCTCCCACTGACACCAGTGATGGGGCACTATTCCTCCCACTGACACCAGTGATGGGGCACTATTCATCCCACTGACATCAGTGATGGGGCACTATTCCTCCCACTGATACCAACGATGGGGCACTATGCATCCCACTGACATCAGTGATGGGGCACTATTCCTCCCACTGACACCAGTGATGGGGCACTATTCATCCCACTGACATCAGTGATGGGGCACTACTCCTCCCACTGATACCAACGATGGGGCACTATGCATCCCACTGACATCAGTGATGGGGCACTATTCCTCCCACTGACACCAGTGATGGGGCACTATGCATCCCACTGACATCAGTGATGGGGCACTATTCCTCCCACTGACACCAGTGATGGGGCACTATTCATCCCACTGACACCAATGATGGGGCACTATTCCTCCCACTGATACCAACGATGGGGCACTATTCCTCCCACTGATACCAATGATGGGGCACTATTCATCCCACTGACATCAGTGATGGGGCACTATTCCTCCCACTGATACCAACAATGGGGCACTATTCATCCCACTGACATCAGTGATGGGGCACTACTCCTTCCACTGACACCAATGACATGGCACTACTCCTCCCACTGCAAAATTACAGTTATGAAGTAGCAATGAAAATAATTTTATGGTTGGGGGTCACCACAACATGAGGAACTGTATTAAGGGGTCGCGGCATTAGAAAGGTTGAGAACCACTGCTGTAGAGGATCTGGACAGGGCCGTAGAATGTCCTTAACCCATCTGGTATCTGGACTGTTATCTGCTCCTTTGTACAAGGTGGAACAGGATGAGTACTGCCAGAGCCCTTCAAAATGACCTCCAGCAGGTCACTGGTGTGAATGTCTCTGACCAAACAATCAGAAACAGACTTCATGAGGTTTGCCTGGGGGCCCGATATCCTCTAGTGGGCCCTGTGCTCACTGCCCGACACCACAGAGCTTGATTGGCATTTGCCATTAAACAGAATTGGAAGGTCTGCAACTGGAGCCCTGTGCTTTTCAGAGATGAGAGCAGGTTCACCCTGAGCACATGTGACAGACGTGAAATGGTCTGGAGAAGCCATGGAGAACGTTATGCTGCAGCATGACTGTTATAATGGTGGGTCAATGATGGTCTGGGGAAACATATCCATGGAGGGACTCACAGACCTCTACAGGCTAGACAATGGCACCCTGACTGCCATTAGGTATTGGGATGAAATCCTTGGACCCATTTTCAAACCCTACACTGGTGCAGTGGGTTCCTCCTGGTGCATGAAAATGCCTGGCCTCATGTGCGAGAGTATGCATGCAGTTCCTGGTGGATGAAGGAATTGATACCATTGAATGGCTTATCTGATCTAAATCCAATAGAACACCTCTGGGATGTCACATTTTGGTACATCCGACGCCGCCAGGTTGCACCTCAGACTGTTCAGGAGCTCAGTGATGCCCTGGTCCAGATCTAGGAGAAAATACCCCAGAACACTATCCGTTGTCTCATTAGGAGCATGCCCTGATGTTGTCATACAAGCACGTGGGGGCCATACAAACGTCTGAGTACCATTTTGAGTTGCTGCAATTAAATTTCAGCAAAATAGACTAGCCTGCTGCATCATTCTTTCACTTTGATTTTTGGGGTGTCTTTGAATTTAGTCCTCTGTAGGTTGATAATTGTCATTTCCATCAAACAATGGGGCATCCTTGCGTTCCTAACACATTACCCAGTCCATATCAGTATAGATGTCCAGCATGATATTTTTCCCCCAATATGATCTGATGTGTTTTCAAAGTGTTCCTTTAACTTAGTTTGAGCAGTATGTTATATATATATATATCTATATATATATATATATATATATATATATATATATATATATATATATATATATATATATATACACACACAGTATCTCACAGAAGTGAGTACAACCGTCACATTTTTGTAAATATTTTATTATTATATATTTTCATGTGACAACACTGAAGAAATTACACTTTGTTACAATGTAAAGTAGTGAGTGTACAGCTTGTATAACAGTGCAAATTTGCTGTCCCCTCAAAATAACTCAACATCCAGCCATTAATGTCTAAACCGCTTGCAACAAAAGTGAGTACCTTAATACAAGCCTAACTTTCAATTAGGCAAAATGGCTTTGTGACCCAATATTAGCAGGATGTTTTCAACTTGAAAAAAGGATTAAAGATGCAATATGATAAACTTTCCTCCAGGATTCTGTGAATATACTGATCCTTCAATGTGGATAGATATGCATGGATCTCTCCCTTTAAATGTTTTAGGACTAATGATTTACTCCTCCATCTCTCCTTGTTTCTCCCAATATGGTACACATGCAACAAAGAAGAAATTTAGTGCCTTATCCTCAAAACACTTTTTTATTTGTAGCAAGTTGACTGTGCACTCACAATGTTTAAAAACAAATCATGCATTAAAATATACAATGTAGCTTCCTCTGTATGTGCTGACCACACTTCCCATACTCGCAGTCTGTCTGATTCCCGAGTGCGTGGTGATGTCAGAGCCCCTCCCCCACGCGTTGCGCCACCAGGTGACGTGGCTTCGTCAGGGGGATGTGATAGGACATCACCTCACACCTGGCTCTTTATAAGGCATACGGACGCCATCATACTGTAGCTCAAATGGACGCGGCCATGTTTCTGGGGTCAAATTTTCACGATGTATGCGGTGAACTTCCCACACCCTTGTTAACCATCAGATTACTCATTAATTCTTATATTAGGATATAAATCAGCTGTTTACTCTGCATCACCTCACAACTCTTTTTAAGGCTACTGAGAAGGGTACAGCACTTCAGAGAGGAACTAAACATATATAAACAATACATTATTAACAAGAATTAAATATATCTCTAAATGAAATTATCATGCATTATTATACAACAATACATAATTAATAAGTTAAAATAATAAAAAAAAAAATAAACAATAATAAAAATAAAAAATAAAAATATTTTTGATATAAATAAAATTAAACATTGAATATATAATTAATATTTAATACACATTATATCCATAAATCTATTAATTACTGACTGAATTATACCATAAAAATGTAATTCTCATTAAATTCCTGTCTTTATATATCTGTTATGAGTGCTGGGTAT